CTGTTCTGGGAAAGCACAGCTGTATGTTTGGCCATGAGCTACTACTGCTTGACCTATACCTACTATTGTCCCCTAGGTAGGTACTGTTGACCACTCTGAAAGGCAAGATACCAGGACAGATAATAGATGGGTTTTCATCCTGACTGTCCTTATGATGATGTCTTCTGTAAGGGCTGTTTGCTGGAACATGGACTGTAAGAAAAGTGATTGGTAAAAGTGCTCATGTGAGACTCCTCTGGAAGTAGTTTCTGGCTGAGGGTCCCATTGCATCTGGAAATGGGCATGTGGCTCTGCAATACTGTGCTGGGCCCACGGTAGAAAGGGTCTTCAGTGGTGAATGAGAGGCGCCATGGGAGTGTTGTTGGCTTTGATTTTAATGCAGATATTTGCTTCCTGCTGATTGCACTTTGAATAAGAGCATCTTCACTTTCTATTCTCTATTAGGTTATTTGATAGACCAGGGCTTTTGCTAATTGCACACTTCTAGGACATACTGCCACCACAAAAGCTAAAGCTCTGTCTTCTCTTCCCCCAGTGTTGCCCTTCCTTCTGTTGCCCCAGCTGTCACCCTTCTGATTTCCACCATGATTTTGCCTTCTTCATCACTTAGATGACCCTACCCCATCACCCCCTGAGGCAAGAAGTCTTCTGAGCTGGCCACTGACTGAACAGGCTACGTAAAATCTTCAGACAGATCATTTTCTAAAATTCTTTCACAAGCCATGAAGTGGTTATGATGGGTTCATCTAGCACATCCCTTCCATAGTGTTTCTTGGTACTTATCAGGAAGCTATGCTGTCTTATTTCCTCATCTTCTTGTTACCACCAGAAAAAAAATAAACAAAACCAAACCCTAGACTTTTTCAAACCTACAAGTATAAATAGTATTTCTGAACAAGAGTCTAATTCTTTGGCTCACTTCATAAAGTGTGAGTGTTATCTTGTGCTTCTCCTAGCATGTTGTTTAACTCTTATTCCAGGAGTAAACACCAGGACCTCGATAAGAGCCTTAGTGGGCCAAGATAGTCTTAAGCACAACACAGACATTGGGAGTGCTTACTGTTGAGTTGTTTCATCTGCTCTTGCTCTGTTTGCAACAGCAATGTCGCAGCAGCATGAAAAAAAAACTGTGTAGTGATGACAGCCACTCACTGAGGTGAATATAGCCTAAACTTCCATACGACAAACATAATACTTCACCTACTTTTTAAAATACAATAATTGCTTTGATCTACAGGTTAGAAACAAGACTGTTCCTGTGAGCTTTTGAAAGCAAGTCTACAGTACAAGACTAGGAGCAGAAAAAACCCTGAAAGGTGGGTAGACAAAATCCTTTCAGTGTATGTAATGTCCAAACTATTCCTAATTTCCTTCAGTACATTAGAATATACTGCATTTCCATGACAGCAGAAGCCATTCAGTGGAGACATCTCTTTTTATGCACAGTGCATAGAGATTTCTTTAACATCATTATTAGAGGAATATATGATATACAGCTCCTTTAAGATCAAGGTAACTTATAATTAATAAAATCCTTTACAACAATGTAGACAATTCAGATTTTGATGCCTGAGGAGTTTGATGTAAGTTGGGCAGGGAAGCAATCATATCACTTTGAAAGTTTAAGAGTTGTACACAACGTGAGTTGAGAGCAGTCAGCATGGGATAAAGCATCTGCACAAGTTTTCTCCAGGTATTTCCTTAGTCCCCTCCCACAATTTTGAGCCACACAGCCAGCTTACATAGTCACCTAAAAGGCCAGTTCCACATTTCTGAGGAGGTATTAACACGGTGCATTCACTTTCTTGGGATGGAGGCACAAAGCTCAATAGAGACTGGTGATCCCGCTCAGTATCCACCCGTGCCCACACAGCACAGCCTACCTGCACACTACACACATCTCCATGCTTCTGCTGGTGCCCCCGTCCACACCCAGCACCAAGGTGGTGGTGCTGAGCTACATCACTCCCGGCTTTACAGCTGTCCCTTCTGGAGCGGTTAGCTGTTCGATGGTTCAATGCCATTTTCCATTCAGGTGCTCTAAAAATCAAGCCAGTACCCAGCATTATAAAATCAGCTTATATTTCTTAATGGGAACTCATTGGAGAAGAATAATGAACAGTGAGCTGCCTGTGGCTTGGGCACTGTTGAGGAAATCTGGTTGATACAGATATGATAAGGTTAGATAACTAATTAGTCCATAGGGCACAACAGCAAAATTTTAATTATTCGTATCAGCAACACGACACTCATTATTGAAAAGTAAAGATTTACACCAGGTGGCTTCCTTCTTAGAAAATCTTAACTCAGACAGACAGAAGCCACCATAGACAGCAGAGTGGTGGTGGTGGAGGTGGGAGTTGAATCCCTCTTACCACCTCCATCTTCCCTCATGCCCTGATTGCTATCTTCATGTTCACAAAGGGCATCCAGCATATGCTTTGCTTGTAGGATTATTAAATGGGGCTCTAGGCTTGGGCCCTAAACTTGTCATCAAAACTCCTACTAAAAAAACACCCAGTGCTCCCAATAAGAGAAACAAAACATGGACCTAAAATATTCTCTTTATTCTGAAAGTTACTGACAACACAGAGAGGAAGAAAAGCAGCGGGGTACAGCTGCTTTTAGAGGCACATCATCTTCTACTGGAATAAACATTTTTACTCCCTGTGTAATGCAGTTTGTCTCACAAGTTTTAAATCTCACAACGTGGCTAAGAGCTATTGAATGGTGTTACAAGGCAAAAAGCATGCAGAGGAGCTAGCTGCAACTCTCCGGCACAGGGAGGACTATCAATATCCTAGTGATGGAAAGAGATGGGCCAGACAAAAGATATGACCCAACCTGAATCTCCACTTTGCCATTTTACTTTCTGGAGTATTTAAAAAAAGACAGATGGATGGAGCTGTTTCTAGAGAGTGCAGTGATGAAGAGGCTGAAGATGGTCTCTTTTCCTTAAGACGGAAATTGGAATTTAACCCACCTTTTGAAAACAGCAGAATACAGCAGGAGCAGTGCCACTAAAACAAGTAGAACTGAGCTGGGCAGTTGCAGAAACACATCTTTAAACAGCAAGATACAGCTGAAAAGCTCAAACGTGCTGAGACTGTGGCCAATTTTTAGATAGCAACTCACACAACAGATAGGCTATTTATCATGTGCTGATGTTTTCTCAACAGTTTTTAAATGTTAAATAGATCTTGAACCAATTCATGTTGCTCTGACAATTTTACGAGAACAAAAATTAAAATAATACAATCATAACTACTCTCCAAAAAGTTTGCTGAGGGTTTAGCATCAGACCACATCTATTGCACTAAGGGTTTTCAGATGGTGACATGCAACTGTTCCTGAAACATTCAGTCACTAATGCTGCTGTAGTTCACAAAACTGACTTTATTTAATTAACCAAGAATTGATACATATTTTATCGAGTACTTTAGAAGACAATGAGAGATTCACTGCTGCAAGTCATACTTTTAAATACAAAAGGGAAATTAGTAAAAAGTTAGGTACATGTCCAACATGAAACACAAACATTTTGCTTTCAGGAGCTTCAAGTTTTAAAGACTGAGAACTCTACTTACATCAAAGGGTTCAAACACATCTGTATCACAAAATCTTTCTATTGCACTATAGCTCCTTGTTCAAAACGCACAATGTGCATCTGCATTATCCACATATAAAGGACCATCAGCATGGTCAGACAGAAACAGTCTAGAAAAGGTCAGAGGGGTTGTAGGCTGTAGAAGTAGGGCAGTAAAACTGAGGCGTCTGGAGGACCAGTATCCAACACAAGCCCCGTTTCTCGCTGGCAATGCAACAGACATTAGGACTGCAGCTGTGCTACTGTCCTATGAAGAGGTAGCATAATACTATGGCTTTAAAGACTTTCTTTTAAATAAGGCTTGTCTGAGCTGAAAGCCACATAACAACTGAAGAGTTCTTATAATACTAGCCCAAAGTATAGTATGGCAGCACTGTGGGATTCATTTGTTTAACAACAGCTGCCAAATCCAAGTAGGTGCACTATCTCTTTGAAATCTGCTGCAGCACATCATAAATGGTTCTGGGCAAAGGTGGTAACACCAATTACTTCTTTTTCCCCCTCATCCTCAGCCATATGGAGAATGCTGACAGTCGAGAATACAACAGCAGGTAACACTTGTGAACTGGAAAATGGAAGTCCTGCCTAGCTATTAAAGAGGTCCTACTTTGTCTAAAAAGACAACCTGGAAGAGGTGACTGGCAAAATATTTCAGTTACATGGACAATATAGCAAAACAAATATAACATTTGTGAAAGATACACACTGCTATAAGCACACTGGTGCTTAAACCCCTACCCACCTCACCTTGTATCTAAAATTCAAGACAAAGGCAATTTTAATGCTCATTGAAGGTAGAGGTCCTGGGCAGGGGGGATGACATTAAAGCTGAATGCTACTCTCCCAAAACAGTCCAGTAACAAACCAGGTCAGTTTCCCAATTTACAAACACTCCCCCTTTTGTCAGCTCCAATACACTTCAGTATCTTATTGTTAATTAAAATTTAAGTCACAGGGTGTGTGGGGAGAACAACCTTTCATTGCATTTACATCTACCTCACCTTGGCTATCAGGTGCTTGGCTCTGCTGAGGCACTCAGATGCTACTGTAATAGAAATAACACTATTCTCAAGTGGGGTTTGAAAACCAGCACAATTAATACTGTGTTTGATACTACAAACATGTCAAAACAAATTCCACACATACAAACATTACAAAACAGCTTCTACAAGCCATTATAAAAATGGATCCAACTTCACTGATCTTCAGTCCAAACTCCAAGGCGGATTTGTTAGTTACTAAGACCAAAACAACTGAGAAATAGAAATTAAACTTTTAGCTTACGTATCATTACATTTGGTAAAAAAAAAAAAAAAAAAA